GGGGTGGGTCAAGGTTTGGATCACTTGGGGGTGGAGGGTCTTATGGGGCTGGGGCTGGGGGTGGAGGAGCTGGATCTAGGTTCGGATCGTATGGTGGTGGAGCTGGGGGCTGGGGGGAGCTGGAGGAGGTAGATTTGGGTCATTTGGGGCTGGGGCTGGAGGAGGTTCTTTTGGGGGAGGATCATTTGGTGGTGGTGGGGGAGGGGTGGTGGGGGAGGGGGGTGGTAGGGGAGATCGAGGATGATGTTCATGATCATGATGAGAATGTTGTGATTTGTAGTGCTTTTGCGTTGTTGTTTAGATGGTGCGTGGAATATGATACCCTTGCAGTTTATCACTGTCCACTGTCCACTGCCCGCGCTTCGTTGTCTACTGTCAATTGGCATTTTCACGCCCTATTCACCTGCTTTTGACCTTCATTATATCATCTCCTCAGTCTTCACCCCTTTCATTACCGCTTCCAACCCTATGAAATTCCAACGCCTTTCCTAGCGCCTCCTCCATCCACGGATATGCATCATCCACTCCCCATACTTCCACACCTCACGCCCACGCCCACAACTACAAGACCACACCCAAAACCCCAACCAAGCCCCCCACCACCACAGCCATCAACACCGCCCCAACATCCCCTCCCAGTCCCATCCCCATCCCCATCCCTCTTCCAGGAGGATCCAGCCGACCAGCCGCACCACCCTCCTTTGTCTCCGCCGTCTCTATCGGTCCCACCCACACCCCCGACGTGACCGTCACAGGGGTGGTATTTGCCAAGCTAGCGCTGATGCTCGTCACCCTCGTCGAGACTTTGGTCGTTGGAGCGCCGGTGGGGCCCCAGATGGAGGTGCAGACGCCTATGTCGTCTTTGCCGTTTTTCAATTCGCCGGGGGAGAGAGGGTGGATGCAGTGGCATTCTTTTGTGTGCCTGTTTGGGGGAAGGAAAGGGGGGAAAGGGGATGTTAGTGAGTGGTCTGAATGGGGGTCGGGGTTGGACCTGAAGCTAAAGGGGGCAGGAGAGGGGCGAGAAAGAGAGAGAGGAAAGAAGGAAGGAGGAAAGGGGGGAAGGGGGGAAGTGGGAGGGGAAGGAAATCGAGTGAAGAATAAGGTGGGAAAAGGAAAATGGTTATGAAAATAGGGAGGAGAGAAGGAAGAAATACGTACATATCGCTATCAATCGCATACATAAAACCGTACCCGTAATACGTCGGCCCCGTCTTCACAGTTATCCCGCCATAAAAGAACGACCCGCACTCCTTGAGGACGGCCTTCTTGGGCTCGATGCAGTTTACTATGTAAGCAGATACATCAGAGTACTGGACGTCAGAGCTCACATAGGCGAGTGAGGCGCCCCAGTGGATGTCCTTGTCCTTGGCGTCTTTGGTTACGATAGGGAAATGCAGTGGCATGACTGTTGGCCTCGTGGAGAGGTTGATGGTGGTAAGACTGAGTGCCGTCCCGAAGCCGTCGAGGAAGGGGGTCTCGGTACTATTAGTGGCGGTGTTGATGAGGGCGGCGGTTATGCCACCGCCAGGAGCGAGTTTCTCGAGGCCACCAGTTATTCCGACTGGGAACTCCTTCTCCCAGAGGACAGAAAAGGGAAAGGTTGTGAGACTGGTTGTACCTAGTAAAATCGTGGTGCATGTGTAGTATGGCGAGGTGAGAGTGCAATATTGACGCAATGACCTGTTTGTTACATGCTTGTCCATTAGTATCGTGTCGGCAGCAGTTTTGATCCTGCAGAATCAATGGGCCAGGATACCAACACCTATTGCCCCAAAACGGACAAGAACGATAAGAAACAAACTTCCACTGACAAGACCCTCAGATAGCATGGACTGCAACCTCTCTGACAACAAACAACAACAACAACAACAGCAGCAGCAGCAGCAACATACCAAAATGGTTGAGTCCCTTCTTGCTCGATAGTGAAATGAATTTTCAAGGTTCCGGGCCCTGACCATATTTTCATCCCGCTATGTATACCACATTCAGTAGGCTTCACGCTATCTGGGCACGCAACATGGTAGTTTGTAACGCCTGGAGCGTATGTGCTGATGATGGACCCTAGAAAACTTGCTGAGGTACCAGAGGCGCTGCCCGTTTTGACAAGTCGGGACGTCAGGGTGGGAACGACGAGGTTGACGGGTACTGTCTTGAGCACTGGTATCGGGGGACCGGCTATGGCCAGAGTGGATTCTGCGGAGCTAGAGAGGGGGGAGGTAGAAAGTGCCGAGGGAGGGGACGCCAAGGATGAAGAAGGAGAAGACGCTGATATGGCCGAGGAGGGGCGGGACGAGACAGTGGAGGACGAGGAGGATAGAGATGGCGAAGACGTAAAAGCAGATGAATATGTTACTGGAACTGGGTCAGGGAGGTAAATCGGTGCTCCTCCGGCTGCGGTGGAGGATGATGATTGTGCTGCTAAGGCTGGAGAAATAAGCCCAGCCGCCAAGGAAGCGCATATTATGACGAGGTTCTGTGGGAGTCGCATCGTGATCGGCCTGTAAAATTAGCTATGAGAGACGTAGCTGGAAGTTGGCGAAAGGAATTTGGGTAGTCAATAGTGGAGATGCCTCTATCTCTATCCTGGCCATTGTGAGAGAGCGCGGGCACTGAGTGTCCAGCTGCGACTGAGCAGAGGATATCACGATGGCGAGGGTACAAAGTAAATCCATGTTCCTTGGCATGCTCAAATCATACCTTTGCCATCCTTTTGACAAGATGGCTGCCAATCAAAGGCACAGTGTCTGCCTGTTGAGCCATGTTCGAGTCGTGACTGGAGTGCTTTTCCCACTTTCCCTCTCGCCTCTCCATACATTCTTATGTCCGATTCTGGTTTCGGGCGGAAATCAAACGTCAGGAGCAAGCATATGAAATAGATGAACATGAAAACACAAAGACTTCTTCGCTGGCACCTGTCCTGCGACCCCTGGCTTCTTTGTGGCTTTGGGCGGCTTGTCAACCCTAACCGATTGTTTGCTCTTAACATAGCACATACATACTTTGTAACGGGCTTCCATTGTCTTGGAGTTTCTGCGTATAGAGCCTGGTAAGTGCTGCATTGTTGCTGGACACTCGTCCAGAGGATCACATGGACATGGAGCTTGGACTTTCACTTCCAAGCCGTGTCATGGGGGGACCAGGGATAAGTATCCATGTACCAGATGTCAACATTGCGTTTGGAGATCCGAACGAATAATGGCATATGCCGACGACGACAAGAATTACTCTTCATCACCCAGATATGTCAAAGTAAGCGGTGAAACCGAAGGTGAAATGGATGCCTGTTGATTCGACATTCATCCGACTGCTTAGTCGCAAGAGTGCAATGTTCCCTCTCCAGTAGAACATGTGGCCATGTCATGTAATGACGTTCGGGTTGATTCGCGTAGAAGCTTCCACATTCCCGACTGTTGACCCGGGGTTGTTCGAAAGGTGGTTCAGTCTTCGTGCTACCTCAGCTGGGAATATTTGTTTCGTGGGTTTATTGCTGCGTCCTCGCCCAAGATTGCGGAGAGGTTGTTGATGAGGTTACACCAAGATTTTGCCGCAGGAACTGGGGTCCATGTTGTCCATTTCCGTCGCTAAGATCATCGGGGCCGAGGAATTCGTGATTACTGATCATCTCGACCAGTGACTGGAGAGTGAAGTGGCGGCATCTTGCTCCAGCGAAAACCATGATCAAAGTGTGCTTCGGCAGCTTTTCTCTCGTCGATAAACCCGAGAAGGATATGCGCCAATCGAGTGTTGATATCCGGTAACGCGGTCAACTGACCGGTGGAAGATTGGCGAATGTCTGACCGCTACCTCAACGGATATCGCGGAGTGTCTCAGTAGGGTCTCCGTACCGTATCTTTAAGCGGCGGCATGCTGGCCCATCCATGTCCGCCATATGGCCGGTGTGGTGCTGAAATGGCTCCTGAGATAAGAAGTTCCAAAGTGAGAAAGACTCGAATGATTACTCATGATGGGAAGTGGAAGTGAAGGCGACAGTAACAACTGGAAAGCTGAAGTGTCGTCCCGGCAGATGGGGAATTATAACGGGCTCGGATCCGGTCGGGTAGGGCTGGAGGACGCTATTCCGAATACAGAACGGGATGGACGCCATCCACGTCGGTGTTCGAGTCGGGGGCGGCGACCAGACACTCAACGACAGATGGACCTGGGAGGAACGCGAGTCGGAATCGAATGGTAGACCTTGGAAATGACGAAGCCCTGCTAGCGTTTGTGAAAACTTGAGTAATTCCTCTTCCCATTGCCAGGCGACCATTCCGATGAGACCGCCGAGGCAAGTGCGGATGGGTTCGGAGAGAAAGAGCCAGAAAAACCTTGACGACTTCCAAAATTAACGAGCAGTGGTAATTTGATCAGGCTCCACCTTCCAAGCAGGCCAAGCGGAAGTCGACGGCAGGTACGGCCGGGCAGATCCTTCCTCTTGCCGAGCGCGACGGAATCCCAAGTCGCACAACTTGAACGGCATCCAACCGTGACCTGACCGCACCGCATGTTCGGCATTGTCGCAGTGTCGTGATGCTGGGCCCAAGAGTTTTAATAGGGAAAAGAACGCGTGTTCGCCTTCCCAACTTGCGGGTTTCATCACCAACAGGAACCAAGCGTCTTGGCGAGTTAAAGTCTGACCGTGTGGAATCCCGAACCGGCACCGCATTTCGACGACGCTCCCGAGATATTGCAATCAAAAAAGAGCCTCAGCCTGAGAGGAAGAAAAAGAAAAAGAAAAAGAAAAGAAAAGAAAAGAGCAACGAAAATGAATGGAAAACGTCAAGGGCAAATATAAAGCCTTGGCATGGTTTCTGGTCCCCAAGGAACTTCCCGTTGTGATATCACTGCAGTGCAGAATAGAAGCCAGCTGCAGCAGCGGGCGCCCGGCAACCGTCACTGCCGTCCAGCGTATGTTCAGCGACGCCCAGAGCATCCAACCCGCTCCGCCAAGCACGCCAAGGCTAAACAGCGCACCCATAGACGAGTCTTGGTTGGGCTTGGATGGCGATCGCGAGCGGGTTCCGGGCTGTTTGCGGGCAATCCAATTCCCTGGATGGATGCTGGATTCCCCCCTTTCCCTTTTTTTCTCTCTTTTTTTTTTTAATCTTTTGTCATCGCCATTCCCCATCCATTTTCCCCTCCTTCAAATTGTTTGTTTTCCTTGTGAAATGTTGACGGTACTACCATTGGAAGGAGAAGAACAACCCAGTTCGCGATCGCACGGCTTGACTCGGTGAACAAGATAGGAAAGAGGGAAAAGGGACACAGTCAGCACAGCACAACACACAGCACACAGCACACAGCACAGAGCACAGAGCACAGAGCACAGAGCACAGACAGAGAAGAACACCTCAAAAAAGGAGAATGCGCCTATCATCTATGCAACGCATGGCCACCGGCTTATCAGCATCACCAGCACAACTAGCAACACAACAAGCGCGGGGTCACAGTCAGAACAATGTCGCCGCCGTCGTCGCAAGAGGTCCTTCTCTGGCAACAGTAGCCGCGAAACTTGTATTGCTATGTGCGGTCGGCACGGGACTTGTTGGTGGTCCCCTCGGTGTCAATGGCCAGACCTTGACCACGGCGACGACCGCAGCATCGGCCGCAGTAGCATCCGCAGCTCCGTTGGATATCGCAACTCCGACTAGTACCACTACCGCCGATCACCACAAGCATGGATACTCCTCCGACTCCGCTCCCGCCTCTGTATCCGGGTCCGATGTGATCACATCTCTGGTCAAGCCGGCTGCCGAGCCCACAACCGCCTCTGTTTGGGTTCCTGGGTTTATGCCGCATGACTTGGAGGAGTTGAGGGGCAGTATTGTCAGCAGTGTAGGTTTCTTTTGGTGCTCTCTCGGATCTGTGGTTCACGTTTCCGCTCGTACTTTTCGCGGCCCCGGTCCATCATGCTTCGATCCCCACAACCGTCTTCTAGATCGTCAGCTCTAATGCATGCCATTGTTACAATACAGGACGCATCCATGACCGCCTATACCATGTTCTGCGCCGAAATACAGCCAAACTGCGCCATGTCCGGCGATGCTCCCTTTGTGTTCACAGAAGGCCCCAAGTCCTTCAAGTACACAGGAGTAGCGGAGCCAACATTGTATGTCAACCTCGTTTATCACGTTACCCTTCATCACGTTTCTGTTCCCCCATTCTTACCTTCAAGCCCCTACCTACCAAGCAATGACTGACACTCTGTCCTCTCTGGCAGCTCACAAGAGATGCACTGCAGCTTCAATGGCACCACCTCCGCCGTCTGTGCCGGCACCTCCTCAGTTGGCTCGCGCTACGTCGTGAACGGCGTCACGGGGCCCGCGTCAACCACTTGGACAAGTACTTACAGCAGCTCCAACATTACCTGGGCCGCCTTGACGCTCGCTACGCCCGGCCCCTTGGTTGGCACCACGGACATTGACGGCACGGCGGTGGCGTCGGCGACTGGCGAAGATCCTGATAGCATTTTGGGAAGCGAAGGGCTGTTCGCCCCCACGGGTGCGCCAAAGAACGGCGCTGCTGCGGGTTTGACGGAGAGGATGGCTCTTTTGGGGGTTGCTGTTGCGGGTGTAGTTGGAGGGATGTTGATGGTTTGAGGCGTCTGGAAGACTGAGTGCATTGAGGGTCAGGTTTTCGCTTCTTTTTTTTCTTTTTTTTTTTATCTTTGCACTTTTTTTATGTTTTTGGCATTGGCGCTGGCGTTGGAACGGGGATTGATTGGAGGATATACCGCTTCGTTCAAATTTCAGGACTTCCCATTGGGATATGGCATTCAGGGTTGGGTTGGCATGGAACATCGCGGGAAGGAGGGAGTACTGACGCGAATCTGTTGGCCGAGTGTAGGACGTTGTCAAAAAAGTGGAAGTAGCAAGGAATGGATTAAGCATCGAATAGAAGGAGATCTGTCGGTTGTTGTTACGGATGAAGTTGAGGTTGTGGTTGATAGCCTCGTGACAGCGACTTTGGGTCACGTCCCAGACACCCAAGTGTTCATTAAAGATCCGCTTACCTTGTACTCTTCATGTCTTATCATGGTTTCATCAAATGAAGGCTGAACTGTTATCTGGCAAGAGATGAGCTCAGGTTTGGTACTCGGATCTTTGTTCCCGTGTGCATGTACGACTACGGTGCCTGGCTGCATCTGGGTTTGACAGAAGCGCAAAACCTTCCCGTCGGGATCACGAAACGGGTGTGCGAGGGATCGACGAGTGAGCTGGTCGAGCACGGTTTGATATTATATCTCGAGGCGATTCGATCTTTCAACTCTGTGACATCTTCACAAGCTGTTCATGTGAGCAAACAGGCCCAACTGGCTCAGCTGCACCCGACAAGAACCGCAAGGACAACAGAGACAGCTCGTGATTATGATTAGCGAGTCGGTACTTTTTCGTTTGACGCCGCGAAACGTCTCTCTCTATTCTTCGTTTCTTCTGACGGCAGAGAACTCTGAAGCGAGGGCACAAGAGATGTCTTAAGCCAGCAATCACCAAAAGCCAAAGTGACGCCAACCTAACCAACCAACCAATCAACCAACCAACAGATGAACCGAAACACGGTGGTTAGTTAGGTCGTTCATTAACCGCAATCGCAACCGCAATCGCAAACGCTGCCACAGCCAGTCCTAGCGGTAACCAAATCTACCAAAATAGGTGCAAAAAGTCTCACCACCACCCCAAGTCTAGGGTAAGTAAAACAGTCGCGCGGCTGTTGGCAATGGAAGCTGTTGGCAAGTGGTAAGGTAACCGCTGACGACGGCGCCCAGGTCGACCTAGATTCACAAGCGAAAAGAGATGGACTTGTCGCCAGTGTCGGATTCTTCGAGCATCCTCGGCCTATCAATGCCCATTTTCACTTTTCGTGTTTCATATTTCTGGGCAGTGGGCTTGATGGAGTCGATGGAGGGGACCTGACGATCCCCGCCAATCATGACCTCCGATCCTCAGGACCCACTTTTGTCGGGCGCTCCAGAAAGAGAAGGAGCGGGGCGTCAAAATGGAACCCCTGTGGCTGCCACATGCACAGCTGCACAGTTGCACAAACTTCCATTGTTCCTGCTTTCGGTGGTGCAAATCACCCCCCTCTGCCCCTGCCTGGCAAACGATAACCGCAATTCCTTTTCTTGGCGGGGTTTACGTTCTTTGTGGACTCGGACTTCATTGCACTTCACTTTCTTTTTGATCAGGCATCTGGGTTTGATCTCACAAAGAAGGAGAGGGACCTGAAAGGGACACAATGAATGGCAACCACTCACCAGAACTGCGAAACCTCACACATTCAGTTCCATCATCGATAGCCGTCTGCGATGGAACTGGAACAATTCCCGTCGTCAGTCCCGTCAGTCCCGTCAGCACTGGCAACTATGGCAATACGACAATCAACCCACCCAACGCCTCGCCCCCCTCCTTCCTTTTCCACCGCCGCCATCGAACAGCCGCCCATCCGTCCATCCAAACACAGATCTTTTGCTGATCCCCGCCAGCATGCGGTGCAGCACGAAACCTAGGGTGTTGCCTGCAAGTTTGGGGAAACGAAACAAAGCTACGGCCAAAACAAGAAAGATCCGGGGCACTCAGCGAATCCGCTTACGATGGTACCTGAATGAAGGAACGCCTTCGACGCCGCGCATCCCATCCTTTCCGCCCGTCATCAAGCTAAGGTAGGTAGCGTAAAGCAAGCATACATATCCACAATGATCTGGAACTCCTCGATTGGCCATCTTCGTTCCCATCAAGACGGGACATGTGTTTGTCCATTACCAGGACCCAGTGGTCCCAGAGCACACACAAGCAGGACACAGCACTACGAGGGGAAGCGAGAGAGGACGGGTGTTCATCAAATTCCCCGTCCCCTAGTGCTTTTCTTTTCCATCTGATACCTCGCTCTATCCATGTTCACATTCACACCATGCAAGCCCCAGTCGCTGCAGTGTTCATCCTTCCTCTGGCCTACAATCCCCATTGACCATTGACGTTGCCATGTCCCCCATCCCCGTCCCCCGATCCCCCTCCTTCTTGCATATCGAGTGGGGTCCGGATCACCGAGGCACCCTTGGAACATCCTTGAGGCTGGACTCAGTCGCCTGCATGGGCTGGAGCTCAGCCTGCCCCTTTCATCCTATCCCCGGGTTTTCATGTGGGACTCCTCCACTGACACGGCGCTCTCCTATTGTGGTGGTGTCTGCTTAATAAAGGCGACGGTGGCCCAGCCCAACATGTCCGGCGTCCTATTCAACTTGCTGTTGGTGCCATTGTCTTTGTCCCATTTCATCTTTTTCCTCTTCTTTCCTCAATATCGGGGTTGCTTGCAATAAGGCTTGACGCCAACAATAGTGTTGACCACTTCGCCCGATCCTTCATCTTCCGTCCTTGTCCCTTTTTTACTTGAAGCCTTGACTGTGCTTCATTTGCTTTCCTTTTCAAATATCCACAGTCCATCTTGACGCCACTACAAGGCAACGAGTCATTACCTGCAGCTCACATTTGCCTTCCTTCTCTTACCACCTGATCACACTCAACACTCGCTGGACGATAAAAGTGCTGGATTGGAACTACAAGACACAAAGGGGAAGATTAAGCAAAACATCAAAACCTTTGACAAGAACTTGACGACATACACCAAGCCGTCACAATGAGATTCGTCAAGTCGGTACGGCCCGCGGCAGCGGCCATCTCTTTGATATCTGCCGGCATCCCCAAATCCCTGGACATCAGCAGCACTAGTAAGTCGGCATACCTGGTCAGCTTACACATCGTCACCGGACACTAACACGATCCCAGCTTCGGTTCAAAGTGTCGCCAAGACCATTGCCCAGAATACCATGTCCTTCTACAAGGGCACAGACGAGCAATTTGTTGATCTCGATGCCCCTTACTACTGGTGGCAATGTGGTGCCATGATGGGTAGCATGCTTGACTACTCGCACTACACTGGCGATCATACCTACGACAAGAAGATTGCAACTGCCATTCTCGCTCAAGCCGGCCCCAAATTCGACTACATGTCTCCGGCCCATGCCGGCCAAGAAGGAAACGATGACCAGGCCTTTTGGGGATTCGCCGTTCTTGCGGCTGCCGAGCGTAACTTCCCTCAGCCCCGATCTGAAATCCCGGGATACCTTGAACTTGGCGAAAACATCTGGCAATCACTTGCCTCGCGATGGGATACATCAACCTGCAACGGTGGCCTTCGGTGGCAAATCTTTGAAACGAACCCCAACGGTCTTGATTACAAGAACGCGGTCAGCAACGGCGGATTTTTCCAGCTCTCGGCACGTCTGGCTCGCATTACCGGCAACCAGACCTACGTCGACTGGGCAAACAAGGTGTGGGATTGGACCCAGGGAACTGGTATGATTAACGAGCACTACCAGGTCCTCGACGGTGCCAGCTCCGGAAAGAACTGCTCCAACATCAACGCCGCCACGACGGTATCCTTCTCCTACAGCCAGGGCATTTACACGTACGGCGCCGCCGTGATGGCTAACATCAGCACCGGCGCCGACCAGGATAAATGGGTCGATCGCACCGAGAAACTCCTCGACAGCTCGCAAAACTACTTCACCCCCTTCGGCGATGTCAAGAACTCCACCGACGTCATGTACGAGCACGCCTGCGAGCATATCGACATTTGCAACACGGACATGAAGTCCTTCAAGGGGTATTTCTCGCGGTTCGTCTACGCCTCCAAGGTGATGGTCCCTTCCATCAAGCCCACGGTCGATCGGTTGCTGCACACCTCCGCCAAGGCTGCTGCCCAGGGGTGCCAGGGTGGCCAAACCGGAACGATGTGCGGAAGGAAGTGGTATGTTGATGGGTTCTATGGAGATGCCGGGTTGGGAGAGCAGATGAGCGCGTTGGAGACGATCCAGGGCATCTTGGTCGACCAAGCGAAGCCACCTCTCAAGGGCGACGATATCAAGATCGTGAGGACTTTTGCGTCGTCGTAACAGACGTCGGGTGATGAGACTCAGAAAGGGATTCAAAGTCCAGAGGCCAGTTCTGAGCCGGAGAGTGTGGCGTCAGGAGTAAATGAGGTTAACTGGCAATGGTTGTTATCATGGATATTTGGGCTGGCCTGTGTTTTGGGCCTATGAGTCGCTTACCTTGGAAGGTGCGACATCTCCTGACTTTTGTTTCAAGCATAACATTATAGCCATCGCGCGTTGAGTATCATCAGTCAGTCTGACTCTTCTTCCTTTTTTTTTTTTTTTCGTATTCTTGCTGTATATATAAGATTTTTGGGATAGGCTTGGCAATATTGGCGGAAGGAGAGACAAAGAATGGATGATTACTTACGAACCGAAACACATTCCCCACGGAAATGACTTTGTTCACTCCTCCCTATGCATGGTATCTCATGAACAAAAGATGGTGTAGTGGTCTGCCGTTCCAGTTATCCCTGAATAACACTTATTCGTGCCGCTATCAAAGAGTGAATTGCGGGGGTGTGCTGTGTTTGCCTCCGATTCCCCTGGTCCCAGCTCCCAGCTTCCTGTTATGCTTCTAAGGAGCTTTGTTTTCTTTTGGTTCGACATCAAAGCGATGCCTGTTCGGAATATGTAGAGTATCGCCATGGAATTCCTCATCCTCAAAGACCGATATGGTCATTCTGCCGAGCACACATGATGCTGACTTCGAAAACGGCTCTCATTCGTATTCGCAGCCATGCTATGGTTAATGGCAAGGGACTCGGAGTGTCGGCATACATAGAATCATGATCACCCCAAGCATGGATTGCTTCACGATACAATCAGGTCGCTTTTCTCGGCCAAAACTCCAGTATTCATTCATCCATTACCTACTGCCGGTTCCTACCTGCCACTCGGCTGAAGAGTAGCTCTCGTCACCATGATGACCTACAACCTCATCATCTCTTTCATCTCCTTCCTCACCGGATTTCTGGCTTTCGCCTCTACAGCCGTAGCCCTCCCAGCCACCGCCGGCGACCAGAATGCGGAGTCGAACGTTGACTTGGTAACCAGCCCTGTGACGCATCCGGCTTCGCAGCATATCCAGTATCCTCGTGTCGACTCTACTTCTTCTCCTTCTTCGCCGCCTCTCGCTCGCCATCCACGTATATCCAACACCAAAGGGGACCATTGAAATTCCTCCCGGATCCATCCTCGAGAACGTTGTCGTCCAGGGTAGCTTGCGCCTCCTTGAGCACTAAACGTTTTTTCTTTCAAACGTTTCTTGTTCAAAATTTTTGATCATTAGCACGTGCCTTACATCATCTGTCTTCTTTGCTTGCTGCACGTACATATGATTAATATACCAATGGATGGATTGATGGATAGTATGGAATAGGGATTCAAATTACTCTTTTGTAATGCAGCTGTCTGTCCATAAAAGGACGATGGCTTCAAAAGGAGATAATCTCCCCTCCTGTCCCAAATGTCCGCGCAGAAAACATAAACAAAACCACCGCAATAACCCCCCGCGGCGATTCTTCCTCTCACAACCATACACCACCTATCCCAAGCACCGAAGGGGAAGATACCACCACCACCACCCTCCTCTCCCCTCCTCCAGTGGCCTCCTCTGCCCCCTCAAACACAACTACTACAAACCCAACCACCACCACAATAGAAAAGCGAGGCGGCCCCCGCAAATTGTGCGCCCAATACAAGACCTTCATCGACGAATCCTCCCCCTCCAGATCCCCTTTGCTGAAAGACTGCATCCAAATAGTGTGCAACCACGCCGGCGGCAAGGACGGCGGCGGGGACTGGGTCTTCATGGCGGGGTCGAAGCGCACCATCGCCACTTTTGGGAGCTGCGCATTCAGTATTTCCGCTGGCGGCGGCGTGGCGAAGGACCAGTGGCTGTTGTTTAGAACCGAGGATGTGCGGATTGTCATCGAGAAATTCTTTATGAGGCGGGCGGGAATGTGAATTATATGTTGGAGTGGGATGGGGAGGAGGTTACTGCTGATTATCCGGGGGGACCGGTTAGGTGGATTAAGAAGATGAAGGTCGGTGGGAGGGGAGTGGCGAGGTGTAATAATACGGTTTGGGGAGGGGAGAGGGATGTTGAGTGGAGGGTTTATCATACTTAGTTGAGAGCTGAGAGAGTTTGGATGGAGAGGGGGTGAGGAGAAAGATAGGGAGAGAGGGAGAGAGAGGGGGGGAGAAGAATGGCCATGTTGTCTCAGAGCAGATACTGATATGTATGATGTGATGCTAGGGGCGTGGTAGCTTGCGCGAGTGGGATTTTGGACGAAATGATATAATGTGACATGATATAACATCGGAATCACCATCTTGAAGACGAGGTTAGGCTCCATTGATGGAAATGCAGACCGCACGTATGGATCAGATATAAGCCACGGAAAATGCATCAGGTCGTGAACCAACCAACGAAAAGAAAGAACCCTTTGTGCTTTTGGGTTCCGTGACATAGTCTGAATGCAAATGGGGAAAACTGCGAGTGTCGAACGGCATCCCATCCCAACAAAGGAACCCCACAGGGTGGTCAAACGACAAGAACGAACATTTTAGCATGTCGCCTTTCACAGTCGCTCTTCCCTCCTTCACTTCCAATCACTTGCCATCTTTTCTGCCTGGTTGACTTCTGCCTGGTTGACTTCCAGATTGACCGCCTTGAGGCGACCCCGCGCACGTCTGGCGAATGGGCTTGGGTTCAGCAACAGCTTTTGGAACCTTCACTTCCCCGATGCCTTTTCATCGGACCTTTAACACATCGCGCACCTAGAATCTTCCATTCTTGGAAGTCCGCGCATCTGATGGCACCCATTCACTCCCCCGGGCTTCCCATTCACCCGCACTTCCTTTCCGTATTTTAAGCTCCCGTGGTTTCCGTTTCCACTCTTTACCCTTTCCAACGTCCAGATTTCTAGCACAAATAGCTTTGGACTGGATCTCCTGGAGCCACGATCTCGCGCTCGGGGACAATTCCGTCTGATTAAGATATCCTCTACCGCCTCTGCGCATCCAGAGGAAGCTGCGGTCCCTCGAACAAGCCGTATACTCCCGGCCGACCGGCTCTTGCTCGTCTCGGTCTCATTCCGCAGGAAAAAAACAAGTCTCCCAGCATCCTCACCTCTTGACCAACGCCACGCCACGCCTACCTTTCCGCTGCCTTGTTGCGTGCACGTTTTTGTGGAGCGATACGAGTCGCGGCGACAGTCCCTTCGTTTCTCCAGTTTGTTTCGGAACACCAGACCAGTTTACCAAAGGAAGTCGTTGACCTCCGCGTCAGCGGCACGCACGGAAAACTTCCTTGTCTTGTGCCTCAGCTGCAGTACATGTAGGCTCCTGCATTCGGCTCGTTATACATAAGTAAGCCCCCACAGCCGTTCGCGTCTGCGACCTTTAATCCTTCCACGTCATCTCGTTTGCAGGTGCTAACAACGATGTGTTAACCAGATATCTACAGCTGTTGTCAAACCGGAGAAGACGATTCACGACTATACAATGGCTACGACTTTCCATCTTTTCCCCTTTCTCCCTTGGGAGCTCCGTGCTCGCATTTGGGAACTGACGGTTGAGCCTCGAACAGTCGAAGTCCACACCATTACGTATGGATCAGAGGAAGATTCAGAGACACAAGCTGAGGACGGGGAACCACACAGGCGCCTAGTCTCAACCACGCCCGTGCCAGCAACACTCCACACCTGCCGCGAAGCGCGCAATCTCGGATTGTATCAAAAGGAATTTTCTGAGTTTGAAGATGTCCCAGAAGGCCGCGAGAAGCGTTACGTCTGGCTGAATTTGGACATCGACATGATCGACATTGGGCAGGAGGAGCTCAAAAGATACCGACCGATTGCCAAGTCCATCAAGAGACTCAAATATAGGGCCCGAACGTTTGAGTACGACGATGTTTCTTGGCTCCACATGTTTGAGAGCTTGGCAGAGGCTCACATAGATTGTTTCAACGAAGAAGGCCTGAATGACTGGTACTGGGCTTTTGCACCTTTCCAGCTTAGGTGCGATCACAGAAACATCCTGTTGATCGAGTCGGAAAATGGTCGCACAATCACTGCGCAGGAACTGGAGGAGGAATACGACCGTAGGGAACAGGAAGCACTTGAAGAGTTTGCAGATGCTGATCCGGTCCCCGTTTCTGAGATGTTGGCTGGACTGGACATCGCCTCGATGTTGCCCAAGCTCATGAGCTTCGCCGAGATTGCTCGAAACATGGAAGACAACGATTGAGGCAGGGTCAATTTTCTCAGTCGACGGGGACTCTGTCCAGGTTTTACACCGCGTAGAGTGGAAGTTTAAGGAGCTAGGGGCGGTTGTTAACTTTCAAGAAGTGTAGGTACCAGAAAGGGGAACAGTTCCCTTGACACCACGGGGACATCGGCAGTTTAGTTCCCCTATCTGTACGATATATGGCTACCACGCAATAGAGATCCGTCCCAGAACACATATAATGGTGTCTTCAAATTGTGTCTGTTGACGTGCAACGTCTAATCTTTCCAGCCACTCGTCCCTTCGGAATGTAGCCCGCAGTCGAGTCAAACGATGACGACGGAACCTCCTTCCAACACGCCCTCCTCTGCAGCCGCTCTTTCTTAACTTGTTGCCATTCCTATTCTGCCTAGTCGATACTAACTGCCTTACACCAGAGAGCCCCGCGTGCGCACGTTGGGTAGTGAGTCAAACCCCCCCCCCCCCCCCCCCCCCAAAAAAAAAAAACCCAAAAAAAACAAACCTTTATCGTTCCTTTCTCTCACCCGCCACCCAACCCATTCCTGCCACTCCTTCATATCGCGGGGTTTGAAGCGCCCAAAGCTCATCGTCAGGACAGGAAGGAGCATTCCTGTCTTTAGAAGCATCTCAGTGCGATACTCATATCGGCGGTCCTCAATTTTTCTGCGAATCCAGGAGAAGCTTTGGGCTCTCAAGCAAACCGTATGCGCCCTACTTCCTCAGCTCAGCCTCAGATTATGCGAAGTTAACCACATTTATTTTGGATCCCAACTAACTTGCGTCCTCGCGCGTAGATTATCTCATTAACAGCTCTCTGCTGCCTGTTGCTGGACGACCGTACTCGTCGAGTGACCCTTGCGAGTCGCAACCACAACGCCTTCCACCCAGCGGGGCTCTTCCCCCAAAAAATCAATTTCACGACAGAAACAGAAACTATTGACTTCCACCTCAACGGCCACCCACAAAGAAGATCGTACCTGCGGCGCATTCGAGGTCGGTACATACGGTTCAGTTCACGTTCAGGTAGGTGCCAACGACATCCCAAATCTCCTTCATGCGGTCCCCGCAAGTTGCTGACGATAGTGTGTTTATTAGGAACCACAGCCACCATCAAATCGGAAACGACAAATGACGACTTAGACGATGGCGGCCACCACTTTCCATCTTTTCCCCTAATTTCCCTGGGAGCTGCGCGCTCGAACCTGGGAGCTTTCCGCTGAGCCTCGCACAGTTCAAGTTTTCACGGGAGAGTACGGAAACCCGTTAACAGATGCTTCTATCGGCCAAAAAGAGTACAAGTGTGTCTTCTCATCCACTCCCATACCGGCAATGGTACAAGTTTGCCGCGAGTCGCGTAATCTTGGGGCGTAACCGACAGTGCCTTTCCGAGGTCGAACGCATCCCTGCATTTGTCCCCAAAGAAAGCTGGGGG